AACCAGGGGCGGTGTGTAATCTTCGGTTTTTACTTCGCTCAACGCTTCATACCTCGTGCTTCGACCGATCTTCTTCGAAATTCGGTCCTCGTCTTCGTACGCGGCACTTGTTATCCGGATTCCCCAAGGGAGGGACGGATAAATTCTTGCGGAAATAACCCGGGGAAGCCGGGGATCTAACCCACGACCTTTGAGTTAAGAAACCGATGCTCTACCACCTGAGCTATTCCCCCCCCCTTTTTTTTTTCTCCGATCTAGTGCCGCCATGCCGCACCTACATTCAATGATACCAAGGTAACGTTATGACCAATTTGGTCAGGACCAGGGAACGCATCATTCGTTGATCACGTAAGGTCAGGCTGCTTGGCTATGTCGGCCACTGCCAACTCCCTCGGAAGGCATACCGTCATGCATGAGTGGCGATGCAAGTCCAACGTGTCTTTGCTGCATGTTGTATGGGTCGGTCGAACTTTGTGGTTATTCAGTCCTATTTGACACTGAGCTGATGCGACACCCTGGGGGGAATAGCTCACTGTCAATGGTTAGAAACCTCCATTGACAGTGAGCTATCACACTCTCAATGGTTAGAAACCTCCATTGACAGTGAGCTATTCCCCCCAGGGTGTCGCATCAGCTCAGTGTCAAATAGGACTGCATTAGGTTTTATCCTAATCCTAATATTGCCCAATCAGCTCAGATTCAAATAGGACTGCATTAGGTTTTATCCTAATCCTAATATTGCCCAATGGGCTCACCTAATTCCTAGTGCCTATGCAAAAGCATGTGCGTAGGATAGCACTGTTTTTGGGAGGTTTTCAATAAATAGATGGAGGTACCGTGTGATTGGATGGCAGGCTGAGAGATGATCGTTGAGCCGGCCGCGAGGGTGATGGGCACCGGAACGTTCTTGGAACTGTGCGGTGGTGTTGATACTAGCTGAGTTGACAGGGGACGCTCTGGACAGTTGGTCTTGGTAAGCAGATGTCGATGTCATCATGCCACGGTCGCTAGTTGGTTGCCGCAGTTGGCGCGAGGAGGAGAGAGTTGGGATGCTGCTCCCATAGCCGTCGGTAGTTGGCTTGGCCACGCAGTGTATGGAGGACGTGGAGGGCAGAGGTGCGGATAGCGCAGTCGTGGTCCTGCAGTCGCAGCCATCGTCGAACGGAGGTCATCCAGCCGAGGAACGACAGCTCGAACCACTGGGGCAATGGCAGCGGGTTGGCATCTTCATACTGGACCTTGTTGTGTTGGGTCCATATGAGGTTGAGAGTCGAGGCCGTGAGGAGGATCCAAAGGGTCTTGACGGCGTCCTTGTGGCGGTCACCGCGCGAGTTGACCGTGAAAAGGTCCAGGTCCGAGATGGTGGACCATGTAAACGGAGCACCAAAGGGTCTCCAGGCATCACGGTGGAACGACCATACAGGGTGGATTTGAGGGCAGGCATGGAAAGCATGGTGCTGGGTCTCCACCTGACTATATTAAGTTAGGAAAAATATCCGGGTAAAATTCTAATAAACCTCTATTGACAGTGAGCTATTCCCCCCTTTTTTTTTTCACTCGGACAGTGGACACTTCCTTATTTCTTTCCAGAGTAGTACTGTACTAGTACATACGTGGTAACTTCGACTTAAAACTTCGACCTGATATGAAATGTCGGGCTGCTTATTAGCTCATTCATACGAATTCCATTGTTTTACAGAGGTATTAAGCCTCTGGTTCAAATACTGACAGTGAAATACTGCTCAGGATTTATACTGTACTATTGGGTTTGGATATCGCTATAGGTACGTACTAGCATAACGTTATAGGAAATAACACATACTGCAGTACCTCCAGCCGGAAATAAACCCGCCATTACAAAATTGTTGAAGGACGGAAATAAATCAGCCACAAGAGAGACCCCCACACTAGTACCGTGTAATAGATGTCCTTATAGTTAGGTGATATTTCACAACCCGACATTTGGGTGCTGATATAAATATCTCGTTCCAGATATACAAATTCAAGTACAATGAAAATACAACAAGCCCGTCATGTCTAGTAAAGGTCCATCTATACTCTAAATTTCGCAAACCCGTTGGTGATGATGGCTTCCGACAATCCAAACCTCGCGCCTGTAATCTATTGCACCAGTGTTGGACGCTTCGGAGCTTGAACGTCGAGTTCTGAGACTTGCTGATCTTGACTTGGCGACGAATACTGTCGATCCACATCTTCCGTACTTGAGACTTCATAGGCCGAATCCAGGCCACGTCTGCTGGTTAGCACATCCATGTAAACCGGGGAGGGATCTTCTCCAGACACGACATTGAACTCCTCAGCACAGGCAACCACCTCGTCGGTGAAATGTGCAGAAAAATCGTCTCAAAGCAACAATACTCTCTTCGTCGCACGGTCCGGGCGGTCAGCAAAGTGGTAACGTAGGAAGTCCACCCCGACGGAGTGAGTTCCACCACGCAGTTGGGTTCCCGTAGATGCGACACTGGAACGGATTCTATAGGGTCTCAACGTCCTTCCACGGTTGTTTGCCGAATCCTTGACGAAGCGTCAGGTTTTCTTGCACGTGATCTTGGAAGCAGGCGTCTTCAACACCATGAACAAGGGGTACTTCTTGCCGGTCGAGTCCGCCATAACCATGGCCGTTGCGTGGTCCTTCGACTTGCCTCCACACGTTGATCCACACCGTGTTGTCGCCGCGAGCATTCAGCGTCTTGGTCGGTAGGTACTCATAGTTCACACCCATCTGGATCAGCATTATGGATCACGTCGATGTCATTGTCGCGGACCATCTGGGCTACACGTGCCGAGAAAGTTGCCAGCGCCGCGTCACCGTCTCCTTGTGTGTTTTGACCTTGTCGTGTCCGCGCGCGCAACGACAGTCGAAAGCGTTTCTTAAAGACTTCGAGTCACGACAATTGGCAACGAACGCGTTTTCATCCAAGCCGACGTCGATCGCCGTCTCCAAGGCCAGGATTTGAATCATTTGTGGGGTCACTGGTACCCCATCCTTTCGCATCGAGTGGACTCACAGTGCGATCTGCTCTTCCGATTCCTTGGGCATCGTAGTGGCCATCCCAAGCTCACGTGAACACAAGTGTTTAGAAGTACGTGGATTTGTTGCTTTAACCTTAATGTGAGCACGTTGCTTGAGCCAAGCGAGTTGTGTCGAGTGGAGGGCCCCGCAGGTGAGGAAAGTGCTTCATGAACGTGGCTGCCATAGCGATCTCGTCGAAACTATCGATAACAGCTTGCTTCTTCTTGAACGAGACGTGCACGTTGCGAAACTCCTTGGGAGGCTTCTTGGGGCCCTCTTTCGGACGTGGTCGACCAGGAGGCCTTGCCGGTGGAGTGACGTCTATTTTGAAAGGAGTAGAATGTCGTGACTGGTTCCCATACGACTGAAACAATCGCGCGCGCAATAATTTTACCTCTATAAATGAATATATGTATTATAATAAAGAGGGTATTCAATAATTAGAGGATATATTGCCGCGCAAGGTTATCCTGTTAAATTTATTGTCCATGGTCTCCGTCAAAATATCAATACATACAGGAACCTGGAAGGAGATAACCACCTGGAAGGACATCTATTGCACGGTATGAGCATCTCCAACGGGGGTCCCTATATCAATGTCCCTATCCCCAAAATCTGTTACTAGTACAATAGTGGTACCATCGAAGTTACGGATAATTTGGGGATGTATCCGGGTGTTTTTGTCCCCATTTCGCTCGGACGTCCGAATAATTTGAGCATCTCCACCGCATCCCGCTTGCAAGTACTACCGGTAGGCATCACCAACCGTGGGGAACTCAATAGCAAGGCGATGATCACCATCGACATTCCACACCGCCATAACCTCTGAAAAGTTCACTACAACTAGATAACCTCTGAAAAGTTAACTACAACTAGAGAGAGGTTGTAGTGAACTTTTCAGAGGTTATAGCGGTATAGCATGTCATTGGTGACCATAGCCTTGCTATTGAGTTCCCCAATGTCGGTGATGTCTACCGGTAGTACTTGCAAGCGCGATGCGGTGGCGATGCTCTAAGGGCATCTCCATCCCCAAATATTTTTGTCCCCATCCCTGCATTAGAGCGATATCGGCCAGATATCGCATTATCAGTGAATGCTGGTGACTCTCGTTCAGCCACATCGTCCGCGTGCCCGACGACGACGAGACGTGATTCACGATACCGACCGCCGGCCGGTCGCTGTGTCCAAAGACGACATTGGGAAACTGCACGAATGGTCTTGCTTTTTCCATACAAATTGCAGTATATTGTTCTCGGCTGTGCCTCGGTTCAACTACCCGTGCAAGAGTGTGTGCAGTTGACAGTGAGTTCAGTCGGGTTCTATTTTTAGACTCGCCGAGGGAGCAACTAATTAGTCCCTCGGTGGATCCTATTTAGGCCCAGGCTAGGACTTACCGAACCTCCCTCGGTACACAGTAAGTGTATTGACTGTGATGCCTGCATTACAGCGAAGTGATTCGCTGGTTGATGGGCACATAACCTGAATGATAATGAAGACACTTTTGGATTTGTCATCGAAGTCTACCGTCGTGAGCACGGTAGCTGGTTGTGCAAGCCGGCGCAGACAACAAAGAATTATTTAGCTGTCTTTGACAAGCTAGCGATTTGGAGCATGGAACGACCCACGAGCGGAAGCGTACATGCAGAGAACGCGGAGCTCCCTGGCAGCGACCGTGCGGACTCGAATGGCGAT